TTCTGTTGGGAGCCCCCAAGCTGGAGGCAGTGCTCTATTTTCTATTGTTCTGCCTCAGGGTCACAGAACTAGCATTCATCAAGACTTATCCTCGTTAGCAAAGGGCTTGCTTTCCCCTGGTCTCTGTGGATGGAAATAGGTTTGTTTTCCTTTTAATTCTTAAAGTAACCTGTGCTGTAACTGTTCAGGTAACTTGGTGCTACCCACCTTCAGTAAGTCCTGTGGAAATCACGTTAAAACTGTGCTGAACTGCAACTCTGAAAAGAAATTATGCACTTTTAATTGAATTCCCTTGAATAAGTCAATTAAAAGACTAAAGGAGGAAACTCATGCTGAAATAAATGGCAGTGCTTTGTGCTGATAGCGCGTTGTGCACACACCGGTTCTGGCCAGCAGGAGCTCAGAGGCCTCATCACCTCATCTGTTGAATGACAAAACTGTTAGTAGTGAGGTATTACTTAGTCCCTAAAACCTGTGCATAGAGATCATACGAGAACAGAGCTTTTTCAAATACTGCGGGCTAACACAAATAACTTCTCTTTCAGGAGCAAACAAAAAATGCACAATTTATCATCATCTCCCTCCGAAACAACATGTTTGAGATCGCAGACAGATTAATTGGAATTTATAAGACTCACAATACCACGAAAAGTGTGGCAACAAACCCCAAAGTGATTGCATCGAAAGGACTGGCTGAACTCGGCACTCCTGCGTGTGCTGTAGCTCAAAAATAGCGTGGAATAAACTTCCATCCTCATTGCTGCTGTTTACTTTTGTCTAAGATACTTTTGTATTTGAGATTTTTTTTTTTCTTTTAATATTGTGTTTATTTGAGCTTGTTAATAAAACTGGCCTCAATAAATACTGGGTTTTTTTAATTATACGCTCTTTAGAGATCTGGAAAAAAAGCTCTTTCTCAAATTCTAGCTCCATGTTAATATCCCGTGGGTAAGCATGGTGGCAGCACTTGGGTTCTGTACATGTCTGGGGTTTACTGTGTGTATTAAAGTAAGCAAATTGCTATTACACGTCACCAGAGTGTCCTGTAACATTTTATTAGATGAGTTCCACTGAGTCAAGTCGGTATCCCTAATAGTTTCCATGCCTATTACAAGGATGTCGTAGGTACTGCGGAGGGGTCTGGGAGTTGGCGCTTTGTATCCATTTTGTAAGGAACTGGTTGCCTTTAGAAAGCTGCTCTTCGGTTAATTTCCTCTCCCCTCTGCAGGGACAGCTCCTCCCTCCCTCTCACTGGGATTTATTAATTACCCCCCGAACTGTTCCCAGAATGGGTCGAGGGTCAGCACCTCTGTGCCCTGGCTGTTACAGCCAGCTCTCCCGTTCCATTGGCGTCTTATCAGCACTTCAGCGTACAGGTTTTGCTTTGAATCGCATTTTTTTTTTTTTTTTTCTACCTTAGGAACTGAAATTATGTGTTTCACTCAAATCAGGCTGGTACCTGGGCACACGTGCGCTGGCACTGATCCCTGAGCTAGAAGCACCTCTGCCTGGTGGTGGTGCGCTTCCTGAGGCGGGGGGAAGCTCCATCATGGCTGCTTTTGTTGCTGTAGTCCAAGTCCAGCTAAACACTGCACGCTGGTCCCAGCCACGGCCTCACCCGAGCCTGAAATCGTCAACATGGAGCTGCTCTGGAAAACTGAAGGGGGGCAGTAATCATTTCCTGTAAAGTGTAGAGAGATGCTTTCACTGTAATGTTAAACACTAAGATTCTATCAAATACGGGCAAGTGAAAATTAATGTATATGGAATAAACTGATGCATAAAATTATTGTCGGGGAGAGATCTTGGTGTTCCTTTGGGGCAGGTTTCAGAAACCACAGCTCCACAACCGTCACCAACCAGAGACCAACCAGAGCACAAATCAAATCCCCGCTACACCAGCCACCAGCACCGGGCATGGTTCTGCTTACCCAGCTCAAGACAAAGCTATAAAAATCTCGCAGTCCAGCTTCGGGATAAAGGTAGGGGCGAGATCAGCCCAGAACAAGAAGGTGCAGTCTGAGAGTAGCGCTTTTAAAGACCAGCAGAGGAGACCATGTTAGTTTCATCTGAAAGAGTCCTTCCCCAAAGAGCGATGCTGTGATTGCGCTCTCAGAGGCCACCTGGGTGTGTGGGCACCCTGCACTGTCCCCAGAGGCTGCCTGGGCCCCTGGAAAGGGCAGGCTCTTCCCCCACAGGGTCTCAATCTTTCCCAACTAGACTTCCCCTCTGAAAAAAACATAATCATCTAAAAAAATAAAAAAAATGCACGCAGCAAGAATTACACTTCTAGAAGGTTTCAGAAGATGGGAAAAACCCCACCCTAGGTTTGACAAACCCCTCTCGCACCTCAATTAAAATGCCATACGAAGACTTTATTTTCTTGAAAAAGCTTCCATCTGTTACGTGAACCTCATCAGGACTTGTATCCAGCCCAGAGGACAGCAAAGAGCAGGGCTGAAGCAGCTCAGCTCAGCTGTGCTGGGTAAGAGGAAAATGAGCTGCTCCTTACAGCACTGCCCAGAAAGTGCCTGCGCCGCACGCCAGCCCTTGCCTGGCTCGCTCAGTCAGACACCGCTACGCGCCAAATCACTGTCCGACGGAAAAAATCAGTAAAACAGAACTTGTGGGCAACGTGAAAGACCATGGCAATCCACATCGACCTACCTGGGGACATACCATTACAGAGAATCTTCTGCAAGTTCAAGCTGAAAAAAAAAATGGGGCACTTTGCAGAAAAAGAAGCAGAGAGAGAGAGCTGCTGAACAGCCACA